AAAAAAAAAGTCCTTCATAAGATATACGGGCTGTGATTCATCTTCATAAGGTACAATACCTGAAATACAATAGCTGAAGTACAATAGCTGATTTCTTTACTGTGAATTGGGGTGTGAAGATTACCTTCCTCTCTGGCCACTGTTTGTCTTCAGGTTTATCAGAATTTCCAGTGAAGATATTTGCTTCTGCAGGACTGAAAGTTAAAAAGAATTAAAAATCAATGGTAGTTTTGCATCCCTTAAGTGCTGAAGTAATACATTACAGCTAACACCTCTACATTGTATTAGTCACTTCCCATAGCAAAGAGGAAAAAGATGTCCCTTACCTGATGTGTCAGTGCAGGATTAGAGAACATTAGTCATGCTTTGGCCACTCAAAGTTTAAATTACCTAAATGACAGGGATTCTGTCATCTCCCTTAAACGACTTCTGCATTCATACTGAAAACAATCTGCTGCTATGCAGTCTAAGTGTTTTTCTGTTAAATTTTATCCCATTGGTATTGCCATGTATTACCTACCTACATCACTGATCTCTACTGCTGGTAGTCTGGTTTGGATAGTAAAATTTCTCCTGAAACACCACGATTTTTGTCTGGCCTTTGAAGCTACATACAAAGGATATTTGTGGATCGTGCCTAATGAATAATTATGACTTTACCAGGTGCTTTCCTAAGACTCTGATCGTGTGCCTACTGAAAGTAATAGCAAAAGTCTGTTGGGTACAGGCTTTTAAACAAACCTCTGTTAAAATCAAGCCTGCCACTACCCTAGTTCTTAGAAGGATTGCATCCAGGAGCAAGATCCCGATTGCAGCTGTTTCGTTAATGCACTGTCCACGCTAAAAAATAGTTACTGCTGGGATCGTTGTTACAATAATGGCAGAATTAAGCCTTACTCATGTAAATGCTCACCCAGCACAGGGAAATCACAGGGCATCACTCTGCCTCGATCTTACCCTCTTTCAGAAAGAAAAGAAACAGGTTCTCAGAAAGAAATACAGGTACATCTATATATACACGTCATACCTGCAGAGGGTTTTTAAATATCGCCATCCCGGGTTATTTGGAGCATGTTGCCTGTCCCGTGGCAGGACCCTCCCTTACGCTCACCGCGGTGCCACCGAGGGGGATAACGGGAGGCCAGGGCAGGCTCAGCGCCCGCTCCCG